AAAAAAAAAAAAAAAAAAAACAGGAAGGGCCAAGAAAACAAGATGCCTAGATCTGAAAATTATTTAATTTATACATGTATACTATTAAAATTTAAAGCATGATCCAATTTGTACTACAGTATTTCTACAAAATCGTGAAAGAAACTCTAGATCTGGCCGGAGACCCTAAGTCCTAGAGCCAACCCCCTTGACCCAGTATGTACAGTATATTCTTATTTTCTGGATCGGCCGGTGTAGCTTTTCAAGCGTGTAAGAACACAAATTCGTGAAAAACACAAAATCTTTCGTCGGAAATAAATAAAAATTATTTTCAGGCTAGGCAGGAAATTCGAAGCACCACCTAGCTTCTTCTTTACTATCTAAAATACTGGACTTGGCAGCAAGTAGAACCAAAGAATCCATACCTTTCCCTTGTAGCACATCGGGGAAGTGCGTTTAAGTCTGTTTGAAGCGCCAGCCATGCTTTTATTTACGTCTTGTTGTTGTTGTTGTTTGCACCATTTTGTTCAGTTTTCAAACTTACCGCCGCTACTTCCGGGTTCCGGCGCAATGCATTGTTAGACACACCGCGCATGCGTCCGGACATGCGCGCGCAGCTATTTTTAACGGCCCGCAAAAATTCGATTTTTTTCTGCCGGATGATGTCGAGTTTTTCCTGTGTTTTTCACGAATTTCTGTTTTTTTACGCCTTTTCTGAGATCTCTACAGGTACTTTGGAGATTTAGGAGAAAGGAGACATAGAGGGAGTTGCATTTTTTTTAATTGTCGAAGGTAAGATGTTTGAATTTGTCTATCAATAGTATCATTGAAGTGTTCTGTTCCCATTAATCCTAGACGTTGACACGTAGATGTAGATGGTAACAAAAACAACTTCATATTTTAATGCAAAATTACGAAATATCGAAAAATGCTAATGATACATAATGGTTTTATCATGATCTTCATAACTTATTGCCGAGCCTGGATTATTAACTATGCACATTTAGTGACTGCAAGGACTTATTAAATATTTAATAGAATTCAGGGCTCCCCAAGCAAAAAAATTATGAACTTTATGAAGCAAGGGTGCTCCTAGAGTCCTACTCTCCAAGCAGAGGTTTGGGGGGTATTTTTAGCGTGTTTTTAGGCTTTTTTTTATCGGGGTTTCTTTTTTGCACTGAATTTTTTTTTCTTGGAGAGTAGGGTGCTCCCCCTCCCAAAAATCCTAGCACCTCTCCCAAAATGTTCAAAATTAGGGTCTTCTGTCACTGGCACAGGAGGACCTAAGGCTAAGGCTAAGGTCACTCCTCCCGTAGTATTTTCATGAAAATTTGCTGATTTATCAACAGCTGATTTAAGCAGCAAATCTTAATGAAAATCCTGACTAAGGGAAAAGTGACAGTAGACCCTAATTTTGAACATTTTGGGAGAGGTACTACTCCGTCTCCTAAGAATTTCTGGGGAGACCCCTGGGATTATGTCCTAGTACTTGAAGTAGTAGTATTTCATCACCATGGGACCACGTCTAGCGGAAAAATAGACGATAAACAAGGACAACAACAACAAGTAGTAGTAGGTGCAAACAGAAAAGGGTTGAAAATAGGGGTAAGTTGAATAAATTTATTTGAGTCAATTTTGACAGCCACTCAAAACGACGACGCAGACAAGTACTGTATAATTTACACAGGATGACTGCATTTTGTTCTTCCATATCTCGCTTTTTATCTCTGATGGACTCTATCTGTGGTCTTCAAAGTTGCTCTAACACAGCAGGAGGATGGCTAGTCGGGGCGTCTCTAAACCAACCCCTAACTCTACCCCTGGTTGGTCCGGCCGTGCTCCCACTCCTGACTTCATCTCTCCCAGTACCCGCCACCAGCGAGGGGTGATCGCCGGACAGGTATCAGATCAACCAGTCCAAGCTCTAAGATAATTTTAACCCCCCTTTTTCCTGTCTATCTGTTCAAATCCCACTTTTCTTTTTATCTATACAACTTGCATGGCACAGAATGGCCATGTTGATTTGATTATATGAATGACGCATGTGCATGAATTTTCAGCTGTTTCCCAAAAAAAAGTTTGCAACCACACTGTAAATCATGCAAAACAGTTGCAAAACTAGCAAATATTAAAGTTGAAAAAAAAAAAGGTTGGAAAATGATACCAATGTCGTAGAATGCCAAAAGCAAATGAAAAAGAAAAATTTGCCATACCATGTACTCTGTGCCATTTGTTCAACCTTCATGACCACATAGATTTCATGATGAAAGCAACTGTTTGTTTTTTTTGCAAAACTTTTTTTTTATTAGTACACTCGCATCAGTTATGGGGTTCCCAGAGGATGTCATCCATATAATCAAATCAACATGGCCTTAGTTGTAAAACTACTAAAAAAACTAGTTAAAAGTACAAATGTAGTTATTAAACGAAGTACATGTACTTTTTTTTTCAGCCACACAAGTAGGGTAGAAATTTAAATGATATTAAGCTAAGGCTTCTACTTCTGAATGACTTGTAACCACCTGTCTGTCCATTATCAGTCCCCCAGAGTGATGACACACGTACTAGAGAACGATGACGCTGCTGAGAAACGGGAGAGGAGACGTTCCAGGGTCATCGAGCTGACCAGAGGGGGGGTGGGGAGTCCCATCTCTCCCATGGACAGGTGGGTCCAAGGAAACTGTGTACCGGTTCGCTGGACCAGTTCCGGACTTGTAAAAATGTTAAGGTTCAACTTCAAGTAAAAAAAAAACAACTAAAAGTCAAGAACTGATTCCGGACTTACTAAAAAAAACATGTCACATACCGCTTTTGTTTCCAAACCACCCAAACCCTTCCATAGATTGCAAAATCTGTGCTGCAAAATGAAGAAAACATTGCCATTGATTGGGCACTGTCAAGTGTCGGCCTCCATGTTATGTGGCCACAGTTGTGCCCAGACAACATTGCAAGGTTGCCAAAATGCAATTTTTGTATAAATTATTGCCATGGATTTAGGTCCGGACTTACGAGTCCGGAACTGAACCTAAACCTCTGGACTTGAATCCAGACCTGAACCTAAATGTGGGTTTAGGTACACAGCACTAGTCCAAGGTTAAGCCACAGTACATCAGTCTAATCTGTTGTTTCTCAGATAAGCTTCAAGCTTCAAGGTTTTTCTGGGGTCAGTAGGGAAAAAGGAATTTTTTTCCTTAGGAAAAAATTTCCTTTTTCCCTTTAACTGACCCCAGAAAAACCTGCCAACCCTACATATAGCATTTTCTTTGGGTGGACCTGGAAGGAACATAAATTTTTCAAGTTGATCAACATTTTCTAGCTCCATTATCCTTATGCCCCCACCCCCCGTGATGTAATGTTTTCGCATAATGGATCGTACCTATTCCGTAAAATTCGTATGTATCTATTAATGGATTGGATGTATTCCGTAAAATTCGTATGGATTCTGTAAAATTTGTATGATACTTATAATGAATTCTGTAAAATTTGAAGGAATTCCGTAAAATTCGTATGAATTCTCTGGCACCCTGGAATCCTAGATATTCACTATACATGTATTACTACTGATCAAATATCAAACATTACATTAGAGATGCTATCATATTGTAGTACTTTAAACATCCTGTATTTTTTTTCAGGAGAAAATCGCTGGGAACAACACAGGGTGGACTCACAAATGCACAACTTGCAGATCACTACACTTCTTGTATCAAGTTGTCTGCAGAAAATGTGGGTATCCCTGTTTACTGCACATCCAAGTTACACTTGTTTGTTTTGTCAGGATTTCTATTAGGCCACACCAATTTAGTTTGTTGTTACTCGGATTTTTTCAGAAAAAATATGAAGCGACAGGGTGACACCCCATGAAGGCCGGAAATGTTACAATATGAGCCATGAAGTCAACATTTTTGAAATGAAACGAAGTTGAATTATTTCATTGAAAAACTTTAACAAGAAGGAAGAAAAGTACTTTCTTCAACCGTTGGGGACGAAATATGTCTTTCATTGAGCATTTTGCAGTTGATTTAGAACCTAAAGTCTTCAGAATTGCATTGGTGTGGCCTTAGTGTCATTTTCACATATTGAAATATTATAATTTCCATTATTGTGTAGAGTATCTACAGTATTACCATAATCTGTTATCATTGTCTTCCTATCAATCAATTATTGTCCTTCTATATAATTATTGTAAGTTATATTTAGATACTCTGCAGTCTGTATTTTGAAAGGTACTAGAAGTATAGCAAATGCTTTTTTGTTGTTTAGAAAATCAATGTGAAGAATGCGTTTGGCCTGCACCTGATTGACTACATGTCTCATCTACTGAAGACCAAGAACAGGAATGAAGTCACCAATTTTCAGGCAAGTTCTTGACATCGTTCAGTGAAAAATGGAGGTATTGTTTTTGGTACAATGTATGTCTGTGTGTGTGTCACTGTGTGTGTGTGTGTTTGTTTGTATTTCCACATGGGCCTTTGGGTTAGCCTGGGTGCCATCCCCCGTAGTATTCACCCACTCCCTAATATCTCTAGCTTTAGCTTGTGGGTATGGACTTGGTGACATATGTAACGTCTGGTGACGACATCACGTAATGAGCTAGCCCGAGCAGCGCGATAGAAGATAAGAATAAGATCTATGATCTTAATGTCGCCATTCGAACGTCTGAATGGCTTACCTAATATGTACACACCTTTTCTACAAGAGCACCCCCCAAAAAGGGCTTAGACGAGTAGGACCAATCAGCGTGCTTATTCAACATCTGATCGAATATTCCGATTCCAGACGTTACATATGTCAGCAAGTCCAGACCGAGTGGTAGCTAGCGACATTAGGGAGCAGGCGAATACTACGGGGGATGGCACGCAAGCTAACTTTGGTTAGGCTGTACAGTCAAACCTGCCCACTAGGCACCCAGGCCGGGTGGTCTCCTTGAAGTAACTTGTAGATGCCATGTCAGACTATGAAATGAACAAGGTTTTTGTTTACTTTATTAAGGCCACAGCAAGTAATTTGTATGGATGACATCAGCGCACGCATTAATTTTCGTCTGATTTTGGAAAAAAAAAACAAGAAATTTTGTTGACTTCTGATCATGACAGTGGGCAACATGTCGAAAATGGGCAAAGATGTCTGTTGCCCTGCCGGAAGGTGGATGGCAGATAAATATGAAGAGCTAGAGGAGACAAGAAAAGGCTCTGATTTAATGTTTTGTTTCTTACTTTGATGCAGTGATATGTGATTGTGGCTGTGTATATGTGATGTTCCCACTGAATCAAAACCATTTGTACAATGACTGAGTCAGAATTTTAAAATGTAGGAACCTTGTTTTTTCAGCCCGCCTTGTTTTTTTTCCGCCCGCTCGCATTAGATTTGGAGTCTGCGGAGGATGTCATCCGTAAAATTCACTTGTTGTGGCCATACTTGTGTCAGACTATGAAATGAACAAGATTTCTTGTTCCATATAGGTGGCAAGTTGTACCCTGGATGCCAGTGCCAAAATCTATGCCTACCGTGTGGATGCAGTTCATGCTGATGCCTTTAAAATGCTTGGAGGGTTGGGACACACGGAAAACGCCAACAAATCGCCAGCAGGTAAATTTTTTTCTCTTCTTTTTTTTTGGGAGGGGGGGGTGTTTTTTGTGGCTGACAGATATTAGATATTATTTATTGTAATTTTGAGGGTATTGACCTTTATAGTTTATTGGCAATCAAACATGGGTGTAGTTCATTGGGTCTGATATGGTTTAAATGATGGTTTGCAGTTGGGTTCATGTGTTACACTCAGTTAGATTGGATCATCATTGTTGGGCCTACACAGACATCAGCCTTTGATACACATTGGCATCAAATATCACCCTGCATTTTCTTCAAGAAATCCTGTTTTTACTTTAGTAAATCATGTGAAACATTTATCCCTAATCCCCATACGCATTTAAGGCCACACCAAGTAAATTTCATGGATGACGTCCTTCTGAGACCCTAAATCTAATGCGAGAGGGCGAAAAAAAACAAGAAGGGCCCTAAAAAACAAGATGCCTAGATTAGAAATATACTAAGAGACGACAAATGTTGGGACACAGATTGAGTGAGGTGACACAGTCTAACAAACAAGAAGTCTTTTATTCATCATCAAAACAGCAATAAATCAGGTGGAACAGCAGTTGTCGTCCTGTCCTGTTTTCGCGTTACGGGTATCATGTCAATCTGACGATTTGCGGCACTGTCGTGTGTCTTTGGTCATAGTTACAGGAAGCGGAATTTCTTGTTTTTTTTTCGAGGAACAGACCAAAATCAATGCGCGCGCGGACGTCATCCATAAAATTTACTTGGTGTGGCCTAATAAAGGAACAGGTCCTGGAGACAGCCCTAGCCTTGATGCATTTCAGTTTGACATCATTAAACTTTATTTCAACGGACCCTAATTTTTTTCAGGAAGGAAACTGTCAGCACAACTTTTTTGACCTAGGGCTAAAGTGTAACTATTAGGTGCATTTAGGAAACTTATTTGGACAGCTGATGAGATAATGTATGATCATGGGCTTCAGCAGGAGCAGGCCTCAAAATTAACTTTTCTTCCTATTGTCCCAGCACTGTCCTAAAAATGAATTTCAATTGTCCCAAAGTGAGGTTGAAATGACTGTCCCGACCTGTTTTTTGGAAGCATTGTATGACTTAAAGTTATTACATACACACTCTGACTCTCTGGTACACTAAACTTGCAGAGCAAATTCAGGGGGGGGGGACTTTTCCAGAGCCAAAAGCTGGGATGTGTGCCTAATAAACAAAAGAAGGGCTGACATTCAGCCTTCTCAAAAAAATTTAGAGTAGGTGGCTGATAAGAAAAAGTAGCAGGCGAGCCACGAAGTGGCTCGAAGCGAGCCGCGCAGGTCTCTGGGGGGGTCTGGGGGGCCTCCCCCGGAGGAAATCGTAAAAATTAGACCCCTAAACATCGTTTTTGGTACATTATGAGCATCTTTTATGGCAATCTTATGGCTCCAAAATTTACTGTTCGTGCACAAATAATTCCGGAAAAAGGCTGTATTAAATTTGTTTGCCACTCCGATCGTATTACGCGCGGTCCTTGCGCCCGGCCACAAAATGCAGAAAAATAAAGAAAGCATATTTAAATGTCAATTTGATCGAAAATATACTGTAAATGCATTTTTGTTCGTCAGGGATTTAACTTCGCTGTTTTCGCGAAGAGCCTTGCTTCGTGAAGTCATGTCCCTCGCGAACTGTTTATATACCGTATCGCTACACTCCCGCGTCTTCCAGGTTTCCATGTAACGTTACGTTACTACTACCCATAGAGCCTAACTATCCGTATTGTCTCAGCAGAATAGACACAAATAACAAGTAGACCTGTCCAGTTCTTCAAGAAATAGAATATTTCTGCGCTATTGTTGAGTATCAGTAATTATTTATACTGATAAAAATTATTTCATGAGACACCGAATCCAGTGTCAGGCCATGTCAACTGCGTACAAGAAATCTTAGCGTGCACGTCGCGGGGCCGCTTGCGACAGGAATACGGCTAAAATGCAGGCACATCCACAAATATTTTGATCAAAAACATAATTGCTGGGATCTGAAATGTTACTGGGTTCTCCTTAGCGGGAGTTGTATTTTGTTTTGGTTGGTAAAACGGAGGGTAAAAATGCTAAAAATTTAGCGTGGGTACGACGAACCCACGCCGAGGCACGCCGAGGTCCGTATACTTCCGGTTTGCAAAATCACGCCGAAAACACCAAAAATCCCCATAGAAATATACATTTTCCCGAAAGATTCTTGGAACTATGCATTCCTTCACTAGAAGATCGATGTGTAGTTGTGGAAAAAGCGTTTTAGCGCTTATATTAAAACAAAGAAAATTTGTTTACATCGCGTCGGCCCGCTTGTATGTTACCGCGGCGAGCTGCTCCGACTGACGCACAACCAATCAGAGACGCGAAATGCGGACACGTGACGCAAGATTTGCATACCGTCAAAATTCATGCAGCTAGCTGAGAAAGCCAGGAGCGGGGCATGAAACTAATTTTTGTGTCAAATCAGCGCCGTATTTCAAGAGATAAATGCCGGGAAACAAGATTTTCCTGCTTTTGAAAATGTATTTTACGAGTTCATCTTTGAATATCCGAGTAAAAATCTAACCGTTCGATGCCTGGTCCTTCGGTACGATACAGATCCCGTGTGATTCTCAGCGCGAGCCATCAGTTGGGTATGAATTTTTAACTGCAACCAAATCACTGTTACTCTGTACTAAGTAGCGTTTTGTCAAAAGATTCCATAGCCGGCGATTTTGTGTGACAAAAGAAAAATATTGGGACTTTATTATTATCAAATATGGGGGATTTCCGGGGCCGGGTAAACCCATGAAAGAGGGGGGGGGGCGGAAGTCGGCATTCCCTTTTGTATTTGGTTCTGCTGTATAGCGAACTAAAATCCCTCGCGAACTCTCTATTTGCTCCGTTGCGCGAAATTTAGTCCTCGCGAACATAAATGCATTTACAGTAATCATTGGGATCTGAAAAAATGTCAAAGGTTCGCTTTTTGGAAGTTTTGTTTCTGTTTTGACGGTTTAATTCTAGCGGGGTGCGATCCATAAATGCCCTATGGAAATTCACCCCGCGTCCCGGTACACTGACTTCCGGGTTCCTTGAACAAGAATATTACGAGAAAAAGGCCAAACATCGGCGTAGAGAAATAAAAATCTCCCCGACAATTCTTTTAATTATGCATTTCTGTAATAGGATGTTGCTAAGTAGTCGTAGAAAAAATGTAGAAAGCAGCGTAAATGTGTCTCTCTTCTTCACCGGCGAAGAAAAATGTTCCCGCGCTGTGTGCTGCTAGCCACATCGCTTATCCAATCAGAACGCAGGTCATGTGAGGTGAACCAATCAGAGCGTCGATCGTGTGGTGCTACTTACTTATTCATGACAAGATGGCGCCTGAAATCTCCTGTTTCTGTACAGCGATGCGGAGTGTGCGTTTTTTATGCCGGGGTTTTCTTAGTTTTGACGCTGATTTTTGGCTCGCCGTGATTACGCTATAAATGACACACTAGTGGAGACAACAGATGAGTGATCATTTTACGATCGACAAGAACGTTTGATGAATGAAAAAGCTGTGAAATCTCGCTGATGGCGATTTGTTTTTGAATTTGTCTTGTGTTTCTAACTGTGTAAGAAAGATATGAACACGATTCTGTACATGTCTTGATATTTTTTGACGTGATTTGTACTAGTTATTTGTAGCAGGAATGTTAATAGTGCCGGGAGAATTTGGGAAGGTAGCGGCTTGATAAATTTTCGTGAGCAACGAGTTTAGGAAGCAAATTCCGCCTAGCTCGAGCGATACAGCTCCGCGGATACCACTCGAGCCCCGAACAACAAGACCCTCCCCCCGTAACTAGGAGGCTAAGAAAGAAGCAGTTTTCAGATCCAGAAAGCTAGCAGAAAATTGTCTGAAGTTCGTCAGAATAAATGAGCCGGTGGAGTTTGTAAGAAAAATTGCGGAGACTACAGTGTTTTTCTGAAAATTTACACGAAAGTAGCCGGTGCAAAAATTTGAGTAGGCGGCGATTTTCGCCGGTAGCCGGCTTGTTTTGAGAAGGCTGACATTCTGATGTTGATTATTTTTCTATTGTCCCAAAAATGTCCCAAAGTGTCTTTTTAGTTGTCCAGGCTTAAATTTTAGTGGTCACTGGCCATTGGGACACAGTTAATTTCGAGTGCTGAGCAGTCAGTAAACTCCTTACAAATTACCTCTCACTTTTACTATGTTTTACTTTTAGAAGGAGACTTACCAGAAGGAGATGGAGAGGTGAAAGGGAAGAAACCTAAGAAGGTATTTTTTAAAGGCAAATTCTAACAGAGTAGTTAACTAATTTGACAGTCTTTTCATTACTCTAAAAGAGTCTAATTTCAAATCAACATGATATGGAATTTTGTCTTGTGCTTTTGCCAAATGTGCACATCATTGTTCTAGATCTGATTCTGAAAGTTTCGTGGATTGATAGAATAAGAAACATTTTGATTTAATGTGAAATATGTTGGTATCGAAGAGATAATATGTGTATCCCACCTCATGATGTTTTAACCTTGTTGTTCCCAGTCAGGAATGTCTATAACAACAGAGAACAACTTGAAGAATATCAATGTCAACAATTTTGACCTGGAATTTGAGGTAAGTTTTGTCCAGACAGGACGATACAGTTTGATACATCATGTCAAACTTGTCGGACAATTAAACATCCCCCTTTGTTTTTGTAACATACTTGGTGACATTGTATTATTACCTTGACTGTACGTTTTTGTTAGCAGTGTGTGTGTGTGTGTGTGTGTGCACGCGCGCGTGTGTGTGTACAGCATAACTCGAGAAGGCAATAATGAATCATAATCGTATTTGGCATGTGGGTAGAGTTTGGTAAGAGGATTAGAAATGATTACATGCTAGGGTCACGATTTTTGGTTGGTAGAGAGCCCTTGGAACAGAGAATAAGTGGCATGTGTTTGGGCCCCCTAGCAGCTTGTGATCGAACTGCACAGCCATTTTTGTAAAAGCAGGAAAGGGAAGCAGGAAATACAACATTTTTTTCCTAGGCCTAACCAAGAAAGAGAGGCACATCGTAGGATCTTAATTATGCAAATGGCTTAACCTCATTATGCACTCCAGCCAGGTTTTTATTAGAAGCAGGGCTGGAAATACTGGGTGCATGTGCACCTCAGTGCACCCAAATTTAGAGCTGTACACCCATTTCACTTGTTGTAGACTACTTTTCTTTAGAAATGAAACATAATTAGTTTTTGCTGACATTCTACTTAATTTCTATTTCATATGGTGCACCCAAGAAAGTTTTTTTTCACCTTGCTTTTTAGGTTGGGTGCACCAGTGCACCTATTCCCAAAAATGACTTTTGAGCCCTGAGAAGCTGACTTAAGCTTGTTGACACATGCCACTTGGCATACATACCACCATTCCAGGTTGACCCTTTATTCAAGAAGATGTCAGCTACTTTTGATGAAGGTGGGACCAGAGGCCTGCTTCTGAACCACCTCAGCTGTATGGATGACAACATGGAGCTACTGTTCGATGCCAAGTCTCTGGCCACGGCAACACTGGGGGAAAAGGTAGACGACACTGGCAGCACGGAGCAGGTTGATCTTTCTGGTGGGTCTTAGATTTTATCATACTTATTGCGTTTTATTTATTGGTTTGGTTCTAAACCTCCATACACACTCACACAGACTGACACATGGATGCAACTGAGAACATTACCTTCTTGGTGAAGTAGCTATATATATAGTATGCACCCCTTCTCCTCTCGGTGCCTTTTGTGTTGACTTCACGGCTCTTAGTCTAATCAAAGCATTTGGGGCTATAACAGGATGCCTAGACCTGTTCTTTTTTTTTTTTCGCCCTGTCGCTTTCTATTTTTGGTGAAAAAATCAGAGAACCAACAAATTAAATTGGTGTGGCCTTATGTACATGTCTTGAGCACATTTTCTACCAGTCATACCAACCTTACAATTGTGATGGCCTGCAACAACTCGATTGTGAAGTTTAGAATGTGCTTGAAAAAAAAATTATGGTAGTATGTTGTTAGCCCGACAGTATTTTTATTTCACCTTTTCAGAATTCTTACAACACCAGCACAAAGGAGTCCTGGAGAGGATCAGCACAGCTGAAGTCTGTCCACCTTTTACTGACTTCAAGTTCATGGAATATGATCAGGTAAGCTTTGGATCTGATTTATTGAAATTATAACAACACAATACAATACAAAGGCAGCTTTTGCTGGTGTTGTGTCCTACACATAGAAACAAATACAGGACAGACAATACTCATTTTCATTTGAGTTAAGTGAGGAAAGTCGTGTAAAGTGCCTCTCCCAATGGACCTATCACATAATATTATGTCACAGTTTTTTTACCACAATGAATGCTGGTCAATCGACGTTTATATTGTACAGGGGTGCGTAGCGCAGTGTGTGTTTGTGTAGCGTTAGCCTTAATATAAGGCCTTTATACAGTACTACTTTCCTCCACTGTCACAACTAAATCACCCATTATGGCATGTAATGCTGTGTCAACAAAACTAGACGCAGAAAAAATCAAACATACCTGACTTTGAACACTTTGAACACTTTGAAAATGATCTTTATTCTTTAACTGACCATTCTAGGATGTTCTTTAGAACAGATAAACAAACTGTGACGTAATAATGTGATAGGTCCATTGCAAGGGCCTTTTTACTTTACTTTATTTTGGCTGCAACAGTGCACCTATTCCCAGAAATGAATTTTGAGCCATGCTAGTAATTTTTCTGTCATACAGACATATATTACAACACATTTGTACAAAATGTATTTCAGGACTTCTTTGGAGAGGTCATGTCTAAGCAAGGGAAGGGAGAACATGCCTTTGACCTAAACGCAGAAACTCAGCCCATAGAAGAGGAAGGACCAGACTATGACATGGATGGTGACGATGATGATGGGTACCATGGAGGGATGGATGGTGGAGATGGGACCATAATGGAACAGTCCATGCTCGTGGAGGGACAACCAACACGGATGCTACAGGATGCCAACACAAGGTGACAGGTTGCCCAGTTGGCAAAAATTAGGTTGCCATCAGAATATTAGGTTGCCCCACCTATAAGTTACTACTTACCTCAAATTGTTACATACATAAGCCTTTGACAATATTTCTAACAGCCTTTAGTTAACTGATACTAGTAATAGCCATTCATACCTAAAATTAAAAAGCATATGCCGGATACAGTCGTGCAAGCCAAGTGGGCATGATAATTTTTTTTGGGGGGGGGGGCATTCTTTATATTCAGCTAGCACACCGGGCTACCTGGGTTCAAAAATAGGTTGCCCCAAGTAAAATTTGGGCAACCAGGTATTTTGCACGCTGGGTTGTACAAAGTTGTAGCTTAAAGTTGCCATTCTTTCAATTAAACATGTGTTGTTGCCAATTTTGCCTGACTTTTTTCAGCATGTAGGGCTCGAAATTAACATTGTCAAATGACACTAAATTTTCAGCTTGAGACAATTCAAATTACAATTTCGGGGCATCTGGAAAATTCTGAGACCGTCCACGTCATTTAGGATTGCGGTCCATCCATCCTGCTGCAGGCTGCCGGCAGCCCAAATATTCTGACAAACATTTAAATTTGACCAATCAGGGATTCCACATGCCGGGGAGGGGGGTCTTAAACATGATACTATCATGTATTTCCCTAAAGTCTTGGGAAAATGATGGACATTTAGTGATTTACTAATAAAGAGGACTTCAAGTTGTTGTTATCTAATTGTTGTCATAAACATACTTCCTGAAAAGCAGGCTGGGACAGTTCATCTTCAATTCAGGACAATTGAAATCTATTTTTGGCACAGTACTGCAACAATAGTAAAAAAGAGTTAATTTCGAGGCCTTATCTGTTATCATTATTTTAGAAAGTTTTAGAATATTTTTCTTTCCCTCCAGCCGCCCACCCATACTGGACGGCACAGTCGGCAGTCTGGTGTTGGCACTAGAGCCCAGCGAGTACTCCTACTTTGACTCCAAACTTCTCTCTCTGTGGGCCGGACCAGAACACTGGAAGTTGAAACCCAGATCCAAAGGTGGTTTTTATATTTGTCATACTTACCTTTACCAGCACAATGAAACATGTATGAATTGTGCAGTTTTGTGAATTCTATTTTAACTAGAAAGGTAATAGCTATAATATTTGCAAAGCAAATGAATAATGTTTACCTTCACATATGGTCTGCTCTGTTAATTCTTACTCAAATACATTCATATATATGGTCAGACAGGAGTGTAAATCCCTCCTACTGATAAAATTGCAGCATTATGTAACCCATGTAGCTCAACACCAGTTACCATGGGGACAGACTTCAACAAATCAGGTCATTGGCCAGGTCAGAGGTTAGTGTTTGGAACAGAAGAAAAAGAGGAAATGTAGCAAAAACAATGTTTTTTCCTTTGGTAAACACAACTACATGAATTGTATAGTGTGTTCTGTGTGGTAATAATAAAGGTAACTAGAAAGGTAACATTTACAAAAGCAAATGCATATTTTTTTTACCTTTACATGGTCTGGCCCAACAAACTGCTGCTTTGTGTACTTTTACTCTTTAACCTCCTTGCTGAAACACAACACAACGTACATATGGAACCTAACACCACAGGTGTCTGCTATAGCACCAGTTACCATGGTGACAGACGTCTGGTCCAGGTCATTGTCCTTATTTGTGTGGAATGGAAGAAGAATAAACAGAGCAAAAATGAAGGTTAACATGTATTTTGTACAGATAAAAACTGATATGAAACTAACTCGAAACTTAACTGATTTTTCATAGATGCTGGCAAAGAAGGTGGAGATAAGAAAGCCAGACAAAAGAAAGAACCCTTTGTGCTGGTGTACCAAGACATCGGGGAGGCAGAGTTTGAAAAACAGTTCATTGAGACCAAAGTAGCCACCACCCTGACCAAAAAGACACTGGATAAATACAGCAAGGACAGCAAGGTTCTTCCACCTGACCTGAGTTACAGGGCTGATGCTCTCTTCAGGCTGTTTGGGAAAGCTAGTGTCATGGTGGGTGCTTTTTTTTTGTCTACCAATTTTTTTTTTCGTGGGTGCACCGTGCACCAGTGTACCCAAATATTTTCGTGATTATACATATGTATAGCCTGGGTACCATCTGGATTTTTGCTCCGCAACGCTCGAAAAAAAGATTTTTTCAAGCGTTGCGGAAAAATCCGGATGGTACCCAGGCTAACATGTAAAGATGTTAAATGTTACTACTATACAGCATACATGTATTCCTGGCATCTAATTATAATAAGTGTCAGAATGATAAGAACATCTTTGTTGTAGTATTTTTCTTTAGAAATGAAACATGTACAACAAAGCTTTTGCTAACATTCTACTTATTTTTATAATTATATGGTCTCCTGGTTGGTTGTCTTGGGCAGGTTTGACTGTACAGTCAAACAACCAAAAACATAACCTTCTAGGCGAAGGTAATGTACATTATAGGAAAATAACACTCCTCCGAATTTGTAAAAATGTTAAGGTTCAAATAAAAAAAACCTACAAGTCAAGAAACAATTCCAGGCTTATTACAAATTTAAACAATACATATCATATACCCCTTTTCCTTCCAAACCACCTAAAACCTCCCATAGATTGCAAAATCTGTGCTGCAAAGTGAAGAAAACATTGCCATCGGGCATTGTCAAGTGTCGACCTCCATGTTATGTGTCCACAGTTTGAGTCCGGAACTGAACCTAAACCTCTGGACTTGAATCTGGACCTGAACCTAAATGGTTTTTTTTAAGGTTTGTGTAAAAAGAGTCTGTTCTGTTTAGTGATGCATACCTAAACCCAATTTTAGGTTCAGGTCCGGATTCAAGTCCAGAGGTTTAGGTTCAGGTCCGGACTTGTAAGTCCGGACCTAAACCCATGGCATATATAAATTGCATGTTGGCACCCTTGCAATGTTGTCTGGGTGAAATTTTGGCCACATAACACGGAGGCCGGTACTTGACGATGCCCGATGGCAATGTTTTCTTCGTTTTGCAGCAAAGATTTTACAATGTACGGAAGGTTTTAGGTGGTTTGGAAAGAAAAGGGGTATGTGAAATGGTCTTTTATGGTAATAAGTCCGGACTTTTAGGTTTTTTTGGACTTGAACCTAAACATTCTTACAAGTCCGGATCCAAGTCCAGTGAACCGGTACACAGCACTAGTTCTGTTTCTGACATGACAATGTTGTGTCCATGAACAGGTGAAGAGGCAGGTGGAAGAGGACAGCCAGATGGATGATGGGATAGAAAACTACGACTACAACAACCGTAATGACTGTGCCAACTACTGTCCAGGGCTGGAGGTAAGGAGCAGGCTGGTTTTAGTGAAACTTCTCACCACTTTCGCATAAGGCCACACCAATGTAATTTGATGGTTCTCGGATTCGCCTCTTCATTTTTTTCTGGTTTTCAAAGAAAAAAAAGGATTCTGATTTTGAATCAACTCAAAAATGCTCATATTTTGCCGTCAACACTTGAGGAAAGTCCTTTTCTTCCTAGTTCTTACATTTTTTCCATCTCATGCAGTGGTTTGATTAAAAGTCCAAAATTCATCCCAGCCTTTGGTGTTGACTTCAATGACTGGCTCCTATCTTAGCATTTTGGGCTATTATAGGACGCCTAGACCTGTTTTTATTTTTAATTTTTTCCGCCCTATTGCTTTATATTTTTCTTTAAAAAAATCAGAGAACCAAACAAATTAAATTGGTGTGGCCTAACGAGCATTTTATTTGGGACCACTTTTTGGTGGTCCCTTGGATTTTTGCTGGAGGCCACAACGCCCTACATGACATGTACTTCCACCTTTTGCGCAGTTCAGATACAATAAAATGTACTACCTTGTTAATTTTTGTTTGTTTTTAAAATTTGTAAGAAGTATACTAAGCCCTTTAAGTTATAATTGTATCTGTCGCCGTTGTTTTTCTCAGGGTGGAGATGACAGTGATAATGAGAGTGCAGGGTTCCAGGATTTCAGCCAGGCGTCATCACACTTCAACTTCAGCCATGACACCACCATCCAGGGGAACATGTCCTGTAACGCCAGCATGCTGGAGTCACAGATGGGACCAGACGGTCTGGTGCAGGCACCTCGCAAGGTGGGCAGCCATTTCTTCATCTCATTCTGACCATTTCTCAAAGTCATCATGAAAGTTCATCTGTGTTGGTAGTTACAACTTACATGTTACAACTTACATGAGTTAAAACTTTAGATCCAACACAAAAATTTCTCTCACCTAGAGCTTTTGACCAGTCACTCTGGTCTTCCTCAGTATTTGATAAATGCAAAGTAAGCTGCACTCAATTTTGAAGACCTAACCACTATTTGGACCTACTGGCTTGCTGTGGGACAGACTGTATTTGGGACAACAAATGATTGCAACTACTCTTCCTGAGTTTATATAGAAGTACCCACCTACAATTTGTACTTGAAGTACCCACCTGTAATTTGCAAGAAAAGAAAGTTTGAACAAAGGGCTGAATCTGTATAGTTAACACAGTCTATTATAATAGTCTATTAGCATTTGGTGCCAAGCTACCCTTATTCTGAATTTCATGGAGAAGGAGAAGAAGAAACACTTAAGAGAAAACAATATGTTTCACAACACCATGTGGTGTGGTGAAGTCATAACAATAATATTGGCAAGATAAAAATTATGAATCACAATTGCAGAAATGAAGTTTTTCAAGCCCTGTATATGTGAATAGAAGTTGTAGCAATTGAACTGTACAATCTTGAAAAACAATGTTTTTTTTTTTAATGTACCTCAGGTGGCCAAGATAGACATAGACTATGCACGACAGGCCAAGCGCATCGATGTGAGGAAACTCAAGGGTACCATGTGGAACTGGCTTATCAAACCACATGCACCAGAGGTACGTGTTCTGTTGTGTTACGTTTAAATATCATGTTTTTTGAAAAACATTTCAAAGACTCATCGTCATCATCTGACATCCTCCGTAGAGGTGGAGCATACAAAGTTAGCTCGCCATAACTAAAGACTAAAGAAAATGAAGAATGTTACTCATGTCGATGCTTTTCAGATTCTTCCTTCAAATGTCAAATATATTCAAAGCGACCCTTATTTTTGCTTCCAGGAGGAAAATATTATTAGGCCACACTAATTTAATTTCTTGGCTCTCGTATTTTTTTTTCAGGAATAATATGAAGCGACAGAGCGAAAAAATAATATCAGGTCTAGGCATCCTTTGTTAGTATTTTGTATTATAGCCCCAAATGCTACGATAGGAGCCATGAAGTCAACACAAAAGGCTGGGTTAAATGTTCAACTTTTAATCAAACCACTGCATTGATAGATTAAAAACTGTATTACTAACAACTAGGAAGAAAAGGGCTTTCCCCAACTGTTGGGGGCAAAATATGAGCATATTTGAGTTGATTCAGAACCAGAATCTTTTTTTTTTACACATAACAAAAAAATGAAGAGGCAAATCCGAGAACCAACAAATTAAATTGGTGTTGCAAGTGTTATCATGCAGAACTGTGATTTAACAGCATCTATCATAATGAGGGCTGGATATACTGGGTGCATGTGCACCTTAGTGCACCCAAATTTGGAGCTGTGCACCCTATTTTTTTCTCTGGGTGCACTGGTGCACCCAAATGTTTTTGTAGGTATTTTTGTGCATATCAAATGTCCAATAGTATACAGGATATTCTTGGCATCTACATTGTAAGTGTCAGAAAAAGAATAAAATCTTTGTTGTAGTACTTGGTGCACCCCAAAAAATTTTTGTGCACCTAATTTTTTTAGGTAGGGTGCACCAGTGCACCTACATGTATTCCCAAAAATGATTTTCGATCCCTGATAATTGCAGGACCCTGGACACAGTGCAGAAGAAGAGGCTGTATCCGGAGAACAGACCTTCACTGAACTCATGCAGGAGCTGCCCACCATGGTGTCAGGTCAGACAGCCAAAAATCTGTCTGTGCCAATCGCATTTGTCTGTCTACTGCATCTGGCCAATGAAAAGGTAAGCAGTTTTTTTTTTCTAATCAGTGCAGAGTGAACCTGATCTTGACATCGTATAACGATGATCTTCAGTTCAATATGTCACATCAATTCCCCTCGCTTGATTACACATACATACCCTTATCAAATACATTATACATAATACATAATACATAATTGCATGGTACATATTATTGTCAAAAAGTAGAAAATCTCTAAGAGGAATTCAACAAGAGTCTGTTTACTGCAGTCTTGAAGTTAGTCATGTTAGGACTGTCAGGGAAAACCGAGGCTGGTAAGGAGTTCCACAGCCTGCTAGTCCTTGGTACATATGAGGACATGTGAAGCTGAGTGTTGGATCTTGGCACTTTAACAAAGTAAGGGTGCCCACTTGTAGTTGAGCGAGTTACTCGCATTCCAGCTAGTTTGGTCGGCAGAATTCCAGTGAGTTCCTCTGAGGGTTGCAGGAAGACGTGCCGGTAAAAGGTACTCAGACTGGCTACTTTTCTCCTGTTATTTTATGGACACCAGGATTTCTTCAGGGGTCTGGGGCTTGGCCTCGTTTGTGTCAGAAAATAGTTTAGCAACAAATTTTGCTTTTTATTTTTCAGTGTCTGCAGATAGATGGAAATGCTGACTTGTCAGAGCTGACAGTGGCCCAGGGGGTCTGACCACACCCACCCTTCGGTTCTTTGTGTCACCGTTTGGACTGGAATTAACTAATCATGCAAAAGATTTTACAAAATGGATTGTATATAATGACAAGCCTAGTTCAACAAGTGCCTAGCCAAATAAACTTTGTATAGAATTAGTTGTTGTAGCCAAGACACCACAATTTTTAGATTTGTTGCTGCATGATTTTAGAGTTTCCTTCTGCTATGTCTGAGATGAGCAAATACATTGTACAAACTAGTAGTCTCGGAAAATATGATGATATGCACGTTTATTACCTCCATACATGTCTTTTGAGATGGCATTTTTCTGTGTGTTACCTACTAAAATAACTCCAGAGAAGCAGTAGTGATTACTATTATACATGTATTTGGTGTGTTGATAGGCTGTGACGAAATCTGGAAGTGATAAGATTTATGGTCCTTGAACTCTCCAGTAATACATGTGTGTATCATTATTTTTTATCCAAAGCTACACAACCTAATAGCCGATGTAGTGAAAACTAGTTTCTGCTTTGGCTTCCTGTGCTGACTAAGGTACAAACAGATCTTTCTGCGTGCACAAAACATTTTAGGCACATCTTATGACACTAAATACATTTGGTACGGTAAATCTTGGACTTCATACTCTCCAAGCAGAGGTCTGGGTTTATTTTGGCGTGTTTTTAGGTTTTTTTATTGGGGTTTCTTTTTTGCACAGGAATTTTTTTGGGGGGTAGGGTGAAAAAAATTCCAGTGCAAAAAAGAAACCCTGATAAAAAGCCTAAAAACATGCCAAAAATAACCCTAAACCCAAACCTCTGCTTGGAGACTAGGACTTGAGAGAATTTAAACGGATTCTAACGGAATAGTGATTAGAAAGGCAAATTGTAGTCTCACTGCAGTACCACTGAGTCCTGCTAGATGTCTCCCTCCTATGAAGCACATTAACATTGAAGTCTCCCTTCTGTCTCTTGGTGCTTACAGTCTCAGGAATGAACAGAATTTTCAGGTTTTCCTCCCAACCTTTAGCTTTCACCCCGTATTACAAAATGTGCTTAATATTTACATGTATGTATAAAGATTGACCGTGACTGTCTCCTTCCCAATCTTGCAAATTGACTGGTTCTTATTTCTTTTTAACAGTGTGTTTGTGAACCTACGTTTCTGACTTTACCTCTTGCATTGTGTACAAAGGATCTGTTCTGTACTGTTATTTTACAATTTGTTTTACCCATTGTACCATGTTGTTTTTGAAACTGTAGATTTGAGAAATAAAGAACAACTTAGTATCACTGCATTATTATGTCAATGAAATTGTTTTCTTTTTGATATATATTTTACTTGTAGCATACTTTTTCAATTGAGGAGTTTTCAAGATAAACAGCAAGGGAATACATTAGGTGTCATTGCTTGACTTTTATTTTTTAATTGTAGTGAAGCAAATCACACTTTAGACCTTTTCTGGATATACCAAACGTGTACATTGCGAAATTGTTGCATATCTTAACAAGAGTTCCACGATCTCATACCTTCGCCAAATGATATTAATTTTTATGACTGACAAATTTTAGATTAGTCCCCTGATTATGTAAATAAGATCATTTCCATGAATAATATCAGTTGACCATATTCTCCACCTAAAGACAGTCCTATCTTAACGAAGTGCCATTCTAGCATTTCCTCATAAATTATGCAAATGAGGTCCTTATTTGAATAAGCTATGTTTAATGATGTTCAGCTTCACCTATTAAGTTTCAAATACCTAAGTATGAAATTCAGGCAATTACGATTGCTGAATTATAACATTTTCTCATTAATTATGCAAAGTAAGTCAATTTACATAATATCTACCTGTGTTTTGTTGTCAATTACATATGCCACAAGATTTAATAGTCCTATCATGTCATGCAACTGATTTATAGAATTTCCTCATCGATTATGCAAATTACATCCATATTTGCAAAATTGTAACATAATAATGTCAAGCACCACTTCAGCTTCCTACATACCAAAAATGACGATCTGTCCTCAACTGGGCCGTAGCGGTTGTCGTTGGAACTGGGACAGGGGCACCAGTCTTGTTAGTGTGTCATTCAGCACCAGGGACACCAGTCTTGTTAGTGTGTCATTTAGGGGCAACAGTCTTGTTGGTGTGTCATTCAGCACCAAGGACAGGGCACCAGTCTTGTTAGTGTGTCATTCAGCACCAAGGACAGGGGCACCAGTCTTGTTGGTGTGTCATCCAGGGGCACCATAGCCTGGGTACCATCCCCAGTAGTATATTC